TGTGTGTGTGTGTGTGTGTGTGATGTGGAAATCCATTAAACTCATTGGAGTGTTATGGAGTGTGGGTATAAAATGATAGAGTTATATGGTGAGTGGAATGCTGATGTGGCAGTCCATGACACTCTGATAGAGTATCATGCACTGGAGATGCCCTAAGTGATACCTAAAATACACCAAAATACATAATGTGATATCCAAAATACATACAAAGTGATACCCAAAATACACAATATGATACCCAAAATACATACAATGTGATATCCAAATCACACCAAGTAAACTTCGAGACTACTATAATACCAACGGTGGTACCATTGTGATATCTACGTTGTGTGTGTGTGTATATATATGTATATATATAGGAGCTTAACCAAATGAGAACTAATTAGTTTGTGGTAACCGTAAGGTCCAATCTCAACCAGAAATCAATAGATAAATTAGAAAATTTATAATTTTGGTAATTTTGAATTAAAATTTTAATGCAGGGACATTTTAGGTATATTCTCTCATCTCTCCGTCCCCCGTCCTCCAATGGTACCACAATGCATCTTATATGTGCTTGGATATCATACTGACGTCGTTTGTGTGGTCGATCGGAGATGTAACACAGTGGTATCACAATACATCTTATATGTGCTTGGGTATCACACTGTGTATTTTGTTTAACAGAGTCAATATTTTTAGATGTCACAGTGGTATTACCATAGGACAGTGGCTGGAGGCCAGAGGACGGAGAGAGAATAGAGGATAGAGAAAAAAAAACATAAAATGTCCTTGCATTAAATTTTTTATTCAAAATTACCAAAATTATAAATTTACTAATTTATCTATTGATTTGTGATTGAGATTGGATCTCACGGTTACCACAAACTAGTCAGCTCTCCCTTGAATGGACCCCTATATATATATATATATATATATATATATATATAGGGAGAACTAGATACTACTGTGATACACAACATGAACAATATGATACCCAAAATAAAGTAATTAATCTAATTAAAGTAAATTGAATAATCATATCAAATCACTAATTTACCCTTCTAATTTTATTTTAAGAAGAATATTAATTATCTTAAATGAACTTATGTTGGATCTCACAGTTACCACATATTAATTAGTTCTCATTTAATTAAGCTTTTATTTATATATACATGACAAATTACATAAAAAAAATTACATAATTTTTAATCACTACTTCCATAACTAGTGACTAAAACTTATGATTTGATGCTTATCTGCCTTAAATAATTTAATATGGACAATTATACCCCAAGCTATATATACTTATTAGAAATCTGATCAAATTTTGTGGTTAAAAATCCAATCAAAAACCATAATTCGTGGATTTCCTCTGCATAAATCTAAACCACAAAGGACCCATCTTTCATCTTCCCCCAAATTCTAAACAAAACTCGAATCATCTTCCTTCAATTGCTCTTAATCACCATGGCTAACCACCTTCGCCTTCTGCTCATCATCTTGGCAATAATCACTTTCCCCCAATCTACAACCTCCGTATCCGTGATCTTATCGGCTCAACCGCAATGGACCGTCTTGAGCCGCTTGTCGGGTGCTCGTCGCCAGCTTGTCGGTGACACAATCGACGTGCGGGAAGAGATGATGATGGAGTCTGAAAGTGCCCGCCGAATTCTCGCCGGCCGAGGTTATATCAGCTACTCGGCAATGCAGAAGAACAACGTTCCGTGTAACCAACGTGGTCAATCGTATTACGATTGTAATAGCAGAGGTCGGGCTAACCCGTACTCTCGAGGCTGCAACGTTATCACCAGGTGCGGCGGTCGCTGATTCGTGCACGAGGTGCAACCGTTTCGGAACCTAGTGATTTCGTTACGTTGGTTCGACAAAAATTCGTTGGATCGGATTATTGGTTCATCGGTTATCTAGATTTAGATTTTATTGTATGATTTAATTAAGCGTGGTTGTTTGGTTTTTTTTAAAACAATAGTTGCAACATGAACATATATATTTTTTTAATTAAGCGTGGTTGGTCTGTCGAGATTGAAACAATGTCGTTTAATTTTAGTGGATTTGTGTCGGGTTAATTCAAGAACGTCAAGATTATGTTTGTTTTTTTGGAAGGCCGTCCTAGGTCATGCCTAGACGCAAGAAATCAGTTCTGATAAACTCAGTGGCTACAATTGTTGTGTATGTCTGGAATCAAACAACGGGCCGATGGGATATTCCACCATATTTTGTGGGTGAAACGGATTGAATATTTTGGGGTTGATGTTCGTGTTCGAGTGTAGATGGTAGGTTTCATCCCGTTCATCATTGTCGTTGATGTTGGTGGTGGCGTTTATGAGAGAAGGACGGGGTCGATTGTTCAGATTAGCTTTTCTTTTAAAATGATTTACATATGTATATAATAAAAAATATTTCTTACAAACTCGAATTTTACAACTTGTATCGTGATAATGGAGTATCTGAGAGGGGTTCAGTTTCGGTGATAATTGAAGTTATGGTAAAAAGGGTAAGAAGTGATATACACCTTTGGACTAATCTTAATTGAAGATCAACACTAATGCGGTGAACTGAGATGCATCAGATCAATTCTCGTGGTAAGCGCAATTCAATTCTCTTTTTATGATTCTTACCTTAACTGTTATTCTCACACAATCATTTGTCTAATCAAACGAGAACTGTTTTGTTTGTGTTAAACGTGAGATCAAATCTCAATCACAAATAAAAGGTTAAATTATGAAATTAATAATTTTGGTAATTTTAACTTAAAATATTAATCAATGACATTTTACGGATTTTATAAATATATGCTCTCATCTCTCATCTTTCCGCTCTCCGACGAATTTTATTCTGTGAACTTTATTCCGATTAACCTTATGTGAACACAAGATACGCACTGTGATACCTACAAATGATGTTCATTGTGATACCTACAAATGATGTTCACTGTGATACTCATATATGCATACAATATGCACAATGTGATACCATTTGTAAAGCAATGAAAATGCACTCTATGATGCATTTCATAAAACAAAGAAAATACATTGTGATACACGTGAAACATTGTGAACGTTATCACTACGATACACTTTGATTCAAAATCGTCTTTAAAGTATGATGTATATTAGGTAATTGATATACTAGGTAACTAATTTTAATTAAATATGTTTTTAAAAATATTTAATTAAATATTTTGATTAGTTGTCAAAAATAGAATTGATATATTACCATTTTAGCTTATTTAAGAAATATCCTTAAATATCTCAAACGAGTTATTCACATTGGATCTCACGATTACAAACTAATCAATTCTCTCTACCCCTATATAAATATATATATATATATATACACACACACACACCTAAATATAAAAAATATACAATATAATTAAGATAATTATTAAGTTATAACAGAATATTTAATTATTATCTATATAAAATTATATTTTTAAAGTAAAAATAAATTATTTCGTTATTAAATATAAATTAAATTATAATAAAATTTTGAATTAAAGAAATTACATAAACAAAAACTTTAAAATAGTAAATTTGATACCAATATTAATACATTTGTTTGACTGTTTAAGATATATTTAAATTTATACTTTATTTAAAAATAAAAATATGATCGACTCATTAAAATATATAAAACCTGTATTATAATATTAATAAAAATAAAATATTAAAATTAATATGTATTCGAATATCGTTGTCGTAACAAATATGTTTTTAATCTGAAAACATTAATTATTCCCACTCCAAAACAACAAGTTTCGAACCCCCGCCTATAATTCACGCAGCCTCAAGTCAGAGTAGACCAACCAGTCGGAACTGGTGATGGCGGCGAGTGGCGTGAAGACGCCGGTAACGTCTCAGGCATATCTAGAGGGATCTCAGGTCAACCAAACTAAATCACTCATCTCTGAGTTATGCCGTTTGTTTTACAACCTAGGTTGGGTCTCCGGTACCGGCGGAAGTATCACCGCCAAGGTCCACGATGATTCCGTTCCCAAATCGAACCAAATCATAATCATGTCCCCGTCCGGTATGTATCTCTCTCTACCCCATCTAAACACGTTTGATTTTGTTTATACTTCCATGACTGATATCATTTTGCTGATTAATTGTTAGAAAAATTCGAATCGTTTTAAGTTTGATGTATTTGAACTCAAAGGAAAGATGAATTTGGGGGTTTTATGATAGGTGTTCAAAAGGAAAGAATGGTTGAAGAAGACATGTATGTGTTATCGTCAAGTGGAGATATTTTGTTTTCCCCATTGCCGAAGCCTTACCCTCACAAGCCTCCCAAATGTTCGGATTGTGCTCCTCTTTTCATGAAGGTAAACTGCTAAATTACTAATTCAAACTTATGATTTTGTGAATGATCGTCTTCAAATTTCGTTTTGATTTTACTTTTGATCGTATCTTCCAGGCTTATGACAAGCGTAATGCTGGTGCAGTCATTCATAGTCACGGAATGGAATCTTGTCTTGTGACTATGATGGATCCTTTGGCGAAAGAATTTAGGGTAATTCATAGCACATATATGAAGTTAACATCTCTTATCATCTGTTCACTCTGATAACCATTTTTCTTCATTTTTTGCTCATATGATGATGATAATAGTGGTGATTAATGGTTATGATGCAATTGAGCTGTTATTCATCTTGTTTGTCTGGTTGTGCATCCTCATTTGAAAATTTCAGATCACTCATATGGAAATGATTAAGGGAATTCAAGGGCATGGTTATTATGATGAGCTTGTGGTTCCCATTATAGAAAACACTGCTCATGAGAGAGAGTTGACAGAATCTCTTGCTAAAGCAGTATGTTCTTTCTTCCTTTTACTCACCTGATTACTTAAATCGATCTGCAAGTTTCAATGTGTGATTTTTACCATTATGTTCACTGCATGAACTATATCGGGTTCCGCTTGTTTTAGTCATAGGCCTTTTTATGTGAGTGGTGCTTTTCTTTTATGGCATGGTTTTGAACATCTCTAGTCGTAGCAATGAAGATTCAGTTCATACATTACTGTTTATGATCAAGAAATCATTGAGCTTGCGTTACTGCTGTTTTCACATTAGCAGCTTCATAATTCACGGCAATTACAATCATGTTAAATTGTCATCAATGGAGGTCTAATATCTCGTACACTGTTAAAGACTTAAAAGGTGATGTTAGTAAAATATATACCAGTATAGCTTATACGAGGCTATAATTATTTTTATTTTGTTTACTTTTTAAAGAATTAGAGACTTGGATAAAAATCAAGCCTTACTTGTTACTTCTATGATTGCCTCTTACACAAATCATTCTCAAAATATAGAGTTCTTGAAACAACTCGAAGAAGTCACTCTAAGGTCTCTTTAGAATGCAGAAAGCGTTAATTTTGATCTGCATTACTTAAACATTGATGGGACTTTTCCTCAATGCTCAACAGATAGAAGCATACCCGAAAACAACTGCAGTGCTGGTCCGAAACCATGGTGTTTATATATGGGGCGATTCCTGGATTAGTGCCAAAACTCAGGTCTGTGTTGTCTACTCAAAATTAGATCGTGCGTAGTTGCTGATGGATCACAGAGATCCTAGAAAGCATAATGCTTGCATTTAAGAAACATTTTGGTTTTCCTATTGATGATGCTACATATAGTATAATGCTTTACAGTATAATGCTTCTCTCCAATCCATAATCTTTCAGGCTGAATGCTACCACTATCTCTTTCAAGCTGCGATCAAACTTCATCAATTAGGCTTGGACTGGTCGACTCCAAGCCATGGTCCCATCCGAAGTTCCCAAGCACTTGTAGGTGGTCAAACTACAAACACATCTCTCAAGGCAGGGGTTCTTACATCCATTAAATAGACTGAAGTAACTAGAGGAGTAGGTTCAAATGAGAAACGTAAACAATTTTGAGAGCGAGGGAACTAACTATTTCATGAATTATTCATGATGAATAACCCTAAAATATTCATGAAAATTCCTGCATTTCAATGATGAATATCATATAATTATCATGAATAGTTGGTTCTCAGGTTTTCAAAATATTTATGGTTCTCAATTGAACCCACCCCATTAACTAGATTTATTCAAGTGATTATCCACTTGGCATTTCTGGTTGGAGCATATATATGATTCCCTGATTATATATCAAATTTTGTTGCAGCGATGTGTGGTTCTGGACATTGAAGGGACAACTACACCTATATCATTTGTCACCGATGTTCTTTTTCCTTATGCCCGTGACAATGTACGAAGGCATTTGGAAGAAACATACGATACTGGTGCTACTCAAGAGGATATTGAGTTGTTGCGTTCTCAAGTAAGTTTCATTATTTTCATGTATTTAGTTTATTGCCTTGCCCTAAACCCTAAACTCTAAAGGTGTCGATCTGACTGCTTAAATTCTTCTTGCAGGTACAAGAAGATTTACAACATGGAGTTGTGGATGCTGTTCCAATCCCATATGATGAGGACGGGAGACATCATGTGATAGCTGCTTTGGTAGCTAATGTTGAAGGAATGATAAAGTCCGACAGGAAAATTACTTCCTTAAAACAGTTACAAGTAAGCAAATTTAACATCTTGAACATGCTTTTTTCTGGTCAGATCACGGAAACAACTGCTCTACTCTTTGGGGTATACGTCAGGTCTGTGTACATCCAACCTCTAATCCCACCTCTGGGTGGACATACTGGGTTTATTTGGTTTGGTTTATTCATACAAATTTGCTGAATCTTGGCCATCTAGGGTCACATATGGCGAACTGGATTTGAGAAAAATGAATTGAAAGGGGTTGTTTTTGATGATGTTCCTGGTTCTCTTGAAAAGTGGCATGCTTCTGGTATAAAGGTAAGTCAGACACTTTTTGTATCTATATTAAATGTTTCTGCCTGGAATACAGTTCGGATCTGCTTACATCTTAACACCCCTCCCAAGTCCCACCCACCCACCCACCCACCTACCTACCTATCTTCCTTTGGGTTAGATGACTTGGGATCATTCGAGATAAGATAGTTTTCATGAGATCCATGAGACATGTTGTGAGCCTTTGGATGAGTTTTATTCATCCCGTTGAACCTTTAGCAAAACACCAAACTTTGACAATAAAACTCCAAGCCTTCACAGGACATAACTTTTACATGAAAAATCCGAACCTTCACATGAATAACACATAAAACCTTCAGTGTGTTTCACGGTCTCATGGAATCCAACCCCGGGTGGGATATATGTTGGTGATTTGTATCACTAATATCATTTAAGTGTAATGGGATTAATTTGTTGACCAATGTAATCATGATAAATATCGAACAAGGAAGGTGCGGAGTGCACACTTATTTGAGTTTATTTTGATTTAGGGGCGAAGCCCCTAAACGGCGGGGGTCCGGGGGGAGCTCCCCGGTGGCGGGGTCGAGCTGCCAGGTCAGCGTGGAATTTTTTTATTCGGGTAATATTGCTTTGTGGAAAATGCATCAGAAATCCGAATTTTAGATTTTAAACCCGGTTTTTTGGCTCGGTTTTTAAACCTGGTTTAGGGTGCAAACAACTGCCGTTTTTGACAGTTTTAGGACTTTTCATTTTCGGTTTTTTGGTCATAATTCGTAAGAGAGAAAGGTACACAGATTCATAACGATTCTGCATACTGAAGTTCTGTCAATCACTGAATTTTATCCGATTGAGATTTCGATTGTACCGTCGAAATACTTCAATCTGAAAGTGATAAACCGTAAACGACTTTCAGTGGATTCCAAGCAAAGTTTTTCTAACAATATATTGGTCTCGTTTGGTGTAAAATGTTTCTGCGCATTTATGAGACTTGATCCCATGGTTCATTTGTTGATGGATTCTATCTGGTTTTTATTTCTATACTGGTCACATCGATTTTATTTATTTGATGGTAAAATTCGTTCCATCAGGTGTACATATATTCAAGTGGTAGCAGATTAGCACAAAGACTGTTATTTGGATATTCAAATTTCGGGGACTTGAGAAAATACTTGTCTGGATTTTTCGACACCACCGTGGGGTAATCCATCACGATTTGTTTCCGAGCATCTGATCTTTGTTGTTCATGAACAAAGCCTCGTTTATTTACTTGGTGCAGGAACAAGAAAGAAACAAAGAGTTATGTTGAAATTTCGGAATCACTTGGAGTTCACAAACCATCAGAAATCTTATTCATAACCGACATCTTTCAAGAAGCTGTAGCAGCAAAGGCAGCTGGTATACAACACACCCACATGAACTCTGCTTCGATACATTGTTGGGTTGTACAATACAATATGTACAACCCAACAATGCATTAAACCATAGAAACCATGAAATGTAATATAAGGTCGTCACTGAACTTTTTAACCGTTTTTGTGTCAGGTTTGGAGGTGGTGATCTCCGTTCGGCCTGGAAATGGACCGCTTCCGGAGAATCATGGATTCAAAACGATCAAGTCGTTTTCGGAGATATGAATCTTAAACTCATTTTGCTCTTTGAATGGAATGTATTATATTTGTAGTTGGCGCCAACTACAAATTTTGTGCCATGGTTATAAAATAAAAGGTGATGTATATGATTCATGGGACTTTTTATTAAATTCGAATTCTCGTTTGAACCATCACCTCTTTTATTTATATATATATATATATATATATATATATATATATATTATAGAAAGAGATTGAAATAGCAAACAGCCACCGCCAGTTGATATGTTTGACCAAAAAAAGCATTTACTTTAAAGGTCTTTGTAACGTGAATCCGATGCAACACTCCACTTCCACTCTCTTGCTTTTTTGCTTTTTGGACTTCTTTCCCTTTCATTTCTCGAACTTTAACGGATTTTAAACGGTCCACACACCTTCGCCCGCATCGGTTTGGAACCTTGAGTTTAGGTGTGGATAAAGCGGACAATATCTGGTAATTGTTGTTCGGAGCGTTGCAAATAATAGAATCGGGAACCATATTAGTTTGTTACCGAGGACGTTGGCCCCCGAAAGGGGGGGGGGGTGGATTGTGAGAAAGAGACGGGCCCATAATTTTTCAAATGGTGACGTTATTTGATTATAAAAAAATATCTAATTTTTTTTGTTATACTATTAGTATAGATCTGTTGGTTGGTTCTTTATCTTTATATAGAACAAATTCATCTTCGAGTCTTATCTCTATATTTTTTTCTTAAAAGATAAGAGAAAAAACACTAAAAATCAATAATACGGTGGCTCGAACCATGAAGCAGAGGTTCGTGCCGATGCATCTTTAAATGAAGGTCCACCTCTGTTGAAAGATTCAACATCGTTTGGGAGGGGGAAATTGTTTTATTAAAAGTAGATATCTTGTCTACGCATTTAAATACCGTAAGTCCAGATGTGGATAAAACAAACAACGTATGGTACAATTGGGCGGGGGCGTTACAATGATAATGCAATAAATATATGGCTTTAGGACTTCCTTTTACAGGTTATCGGTTCAAGTCATCTCAGGCTGTTATTATTCAGACAATGGACACCCACAATTTTTAAAAAGGGATTGATATACAAACAAAAGGGAGTCACGGGTAAAGGCAAATGAAAGTTGGCAAAAGCTCTTGCACCAAAGATGATAAAGCCGACGACGTAGAATTGGCCCGAGGATAACGACGAATTAAGTGTCACCCGAGGATTTGAGGTGCGTTATGTGCTAAATGATACGAGACAGAGATTCGATGACGTCAATTCCAAGAGGGTTATGCATATCTGAACTCCTTACTTCCTCCGTGTTTTTGATTCGACAAAATATAATGCGGTTACGGGATTCAACAACATATACCCGAAGCTCGATCTTCATCCAACTCTCGGTATTTTTTCGCAATTCTCGATGAGTTGTACGGTCCCATACTCCTAATCGCGACCTTGATCGCATTCAATGATGCATTCAAGATTTTGGGTTATTTTCGTATTAAATTTATGATTTACCAAATTCATTTAAAAAATAAATAAACACTAGAAATTAAAAAAAATCAGAAAATACGTATTTTTGGGTATTAATTTTGCAATTTAATCGAAATAAAATGTTGAAAATTAATTGAAATTATTATTTTAATTTCGATTGGAATTCAGAGATCCAAATTGTACAATTAAAAGCAAAAGATCTCTAACCTTAATCGTAATTAAATAAATCATCTAAATCGACGATTCCGATACCCGCGGCGACGTGACCGGAAAAAGAGGTAACAGCTGAGGCTCCGCCGTCCCATGTGGAGTCGCCGCCCTAGGCGACGGATGCAAGTAAAACCCTTTTTGTGCAATTACCCTTTCTTCCTCCGACGAATTCCCAATCGACGGCGATGATTTATTAAACGGGTCTTCGATCAATGGCGTCACCGGACTTAGAACAAGCGACGGAAAATCAAGAATGCTTGGCGAGAGTATTTCATGGATTCTCGGTGATAATCCATGGCCGTGGCCGAACTTCGGCACCGACGGGTTAATCATAAGCCCGTTTTTTAGGCTGTTCCGGCGTTCGTAGAGCTTGAATCCTTGTTTTTTCTGTTGGCCGGTTTTGATCGGCGGTATGGATATCTTGGACGGAGTCGGATCTGGTTGTTGGGTCGGTTTGGATGATCCGGTTAGCATCTGGACTACTTGCTTGAAGGAAGTTGTGTCGGCTTGGACGAAAGTGGTTGGGTATGGATTTGGTTCGGATCTTGAAACGGGTCTTGGAGTTAGTGGTGGGGTTTGGATGGCGGCACCACCGCCGGCAGCGGCGGCATGTCCATTGCTGTTGCTACTGCTGCCGTTGCTAGACGGAGAGTTTGCGGGAGATGGGTTTTCGGTATCGTGTTGTCTTGAGACGATCTCCATTGATGGATTTTTCTGCAACTCCGATTTGGGGGTTTGATGATCGGAGAAGATGAAGATGAATTCGATGGGAGAAAAAGTGAAAAACAAGAGAATTTGAAGAGGTTGAGGTTTTGCTGCGTTGTCTGTGACTTCAGTATCCAACGTTGTGTCAACTTAGGGTTAATTTTTCATATTACTCCCTTCAACTTTGGGGTCTTAACCATTTTAGGTCCTTTATTTTTTAACATATTTAGTTTAAGTCCTCTATGTTTTCACCATTCTTGATTTTATAACTGTGTTTGCTTATGCTAATTTCATATCGAAACTCTGTATTTTCCTTCCTGTAAAGAGGGCAACACCTCCACTTTAGGTTCTTTGTTTTCACCATTCTTACTGTGTTTGTTCATGCTAATTTCATATTTTGTTGGTGCGTAACATACTGGAAATCTGAAACTCTGTTATTATTTGAAAAGAAGGCAACAACTTTGGCAAATTTTATTAGCGAAACAAGCAAACATACACCTAAACAATCAATAACTGGATTTGATTATTTTTCTTTGAAAAAGTTGTCATTTTGTTTCGAATATAATTTCATGATTTGAAGAACCTCAAGCAAATTACATAACACATTTTCTTATATGCACAAACAAATAAAAACAAAAGATTTTCGAAGTCATTGATTGTAAATATGTGATGATATGTAACACCCCTATTGCTTAAAGCAATGAACTGGTCCAATAATTTCGAATCCAACTTAAAATCATGGTCTATCTATGTGGGACGAGTTGTTACAAACTACCTCACTTAAACTCCTGACGTCATCGTCATGCCTACCCAGAATCTTCCTCCTTATCATCGACAATGTGGGATTCGCCTAAGATGTTACAAACACTCCCTCTCAAGGACTCATCATACCCGATGAAGTTTGCCCCACCATCCCGATGATACAAGGATTGACTCTGATATCATTTGTAATACCCCCAAAGCCCAAAGCAACAGACTAACTCAATAACTTCAAATCCAACTTAAAATTATGGTGAAAGTTATTGATAGTCCACTATTTGAAACTTATAACGAGCTAACAATTCTTACCTTCTATCCATGTGGGACGAGTTGTTACAAACCTCTAAAGTACCGATAAAATCACAAACATATGTTTATTTCATGTACAATTGTGAGTAGAGAATACAAAAATTGGACCAAAGTGAAAAATATTTTGAGAATTATAAGGTGATGTGGGAAGTTACCAAAGTTGATGGGTGTGAATTAAAAGTGGATTTTGGTGGGGGCAAAAAGAGAAATAAATAATAATGATTGGGGACAAGGAGAGAAAGTGTTGACTTGTCAACTATTCATGTGACTTTTCTATGACATGTATGTATGTGTGTGAAAGAGAAGAACCATTTAAATTCAAAGAGTAGACTAAATCATTAATATTTATCAGATTTATTTAAAATTATTAAAAGAATATTTGTGTAATGCAATAAGATACATTTTGATTTTAATATTTTTTTTATCGATGTTATAATACGAATTTATGTAGTACTGAAAAAACGATAATATTTTTATTTTTTAAATAAAATATAAATTTAAAGGTATCATAAAATTTTGTAAACAAATATATTGATTTTAGTAATATTTAAAAGTTCTTGTTGGGTAATTTTTTTTAATTCAATTATCTATTAAAATTTGATTTAAATTTAATAATGAAGTCATTTATTTATTTTTGGTTTAATAATATAATTTTTTTTATAAAGATAATAATTAGTATTTTGTTAAAATTTATTTATTATCTTTTAGAGTTTTTATATTTAAAATGAGAACCTATCCAATATTTAATTTTGTTTATTTGTAGTTATTTACACGAATTTAAACATCGAGCTTTAATAAGTTGTACTTACGTACAACTTACTTGTAATCTTGAATTTTAAATAATATGCATCAATAAACAATACTCAATACAATAAAAATGGGTTTTAAGAGTTTTTATCAAATGCTTAATAATATAATGTAGATAACGGAAGTTATTAGTAGTATGTTATTAAAAAATTATAAGTTATCGACGAGTTGTAACAACAGAGGAAAAAATCATCACGCTATTTACTGTAACTATGGTACGACTTTAATCGTTTTTGTTTTCTTTTTCTATATCTGTTAAGATGTTTCAGTTCCTCAGACTGTCTTTTGCCTAACTATTTCGAATGAGCAAAAACAATCTCTTCTAGCATAACATGAATTCCAAATATATATGATCTGGCTCTGAATGAGCGCAACAAAATCAAAAATAAAACCTCTTGACATAGTTATTCTCTCTCTCTCACACACACCCATCCACCCACATACACACACACACATATATATATATATATATATATCTATACTATCTTATAATGCATTTGGCTAAAACTCTTAAACTCTTAAACTCTTAAACTCTTAAAAACAACCTCTATTGCTTTAGGTACAACCTACTAAAACATACTTACCTAAACCCCCTCCATCCGTATCCCTAAACCCAATCCCTATCCCTAAACCCCCGCCATCCCCGATCTGCTTAATGCTTATCCCTAAACCCAATCCCATTTTAATCGGCAACCCTATCCCTAAACCCAATCCCATTTTGATCGGCAACCCTATCCCTAAACCCAATCCCTTTTTATCGCATCCATATCTTATAAACAAAATCGATTCCATGAACAGAGATTTTGATTCAGGCAGCCGCATAAATTAAAAATTCGTTCATCTTCTTCAACAATTCCTTCAAGAATCCACAGGTAACGACTCTGGGTTTGTCTCTTTCAGTTTTTCGAATTAGGGTTTCTATTTTGTCGCTGTTTCGGGTTTTATCTTTTTTCTTGCCGTTTAGGCTCTTTGTACAAAGATCGATTAGAGAGCTTGGTTGATGATTAGGGCTCCTCTTCACAATTTCTAATATACAATCGCCTGCATACACAATCCCTAAAATCCCATTTGGTATCCTCTACAATCAAGTGCCCCATCTGGTAATCTCTATAATCACAACGAATTTCATGTGATTGTTGATTATGGCGATTTGTGTTTTACAAGACTTTCTGTTGTTGCAGCTTTTCAATTTAGTATTTTTTGTTGTCATGGAGAATCGAGGGTCAACATTTCTCCCACCAGAAGGTGAAATTATTTCACAATTTCCTGGGGTTTTCTATGTGTATGCTACAAATTATATACAATTTTGGTCTACTAATCTGCAGGACAGTCTCTGTTGGCTCAGATCTCTGCTTCAACACAAACAATGCCATTAGGACTTTAAAAGTTTCAAGGCATCCTTATAGTGACACTCATCTTGGAATTATATCCTCTGATTCAGTTTTCAGGTAGAACATTCTTTACTGAGAATATCTAATACTTGAATTGCACTAAAATTTGCCAGACCAATTTGTGCATCAAATAGAACTATTGATGCAGTTGTAGGAGGAAGCTGTTGGTTTAGACCTTCCATCAAATACTTTGTGTATTCAATTGTAATTTGTCTGTATTATCTCATAT